TGTGATAGGATAAGTCCAGCAGACTTTTATAATAACATCTCTCGCAGTCTTTAGAATTTCCTTAGCTGTAGAACTTATTTCCAGTGAAAGTTTATGTTATTTTTATAGGTAAGAGTCTGGTCTCTGAGGCAGATTTCTCCCTTCCATTTTCTAGCAAGAAAGGGCATGAAAATTTTCTTGAAAATAGAAACTGAAATATCTAAAATACCTCTGTGTGGCAGTAGCACCTCTTTAGCTGCTCCAGTGGTCTGCTCTCTCGGATGGTTCCTTTCCCGTTCTTCCATCTCCTAGTTTGCCAAATTGTGGTGCACTGGACACTGAGTAACTTTAAACTCTGGCATTTCCCAACCTAGAGGCCCTAGTCCTCTTTCTAATCCCTCTTCCCATTTAGCCAAATGGTACAACCCTAGAAATTCCTTCATCTTGACTCTTATTCAAAAACTATATCCCAGGAGGCTTAGCCTCCAAACTGGAGAGAAGGGACTAAGGCTTCTTAGGAATTTCAGCTTCTTTGGCTCTTGAAACAGGAAGGTTCCACCCACTCCTCCTGCAGAGAAGCACCCTTTCCCCATCAGATGCTCATCCCTGCAGCCTCTTCTTTCTTAGTTATCAAATGCTAGGCTCTTGCCCCTTTCCTGCCCTCTGCACCCTACATCCACCTCCAGGCACCTCTGGCCAGTCCCTGGGTATTGGACTTAAAAGTCAAATCAAGCCTAAAAACATTCTTATAACTACATTTTGACCAAAACTATCAACATATTTGACTTCCTCTGAGGAATCCCTTAAGCCATTTGAAGGGTATCTCAGGCATATAGTTACCCAGATCTCTGCCTAAAACTGAATTAGAGTGCTGTAATTAAAATTTCCCAAGGAGCACCCTGCTTCTCAAATCTCATTCTAAGGAGAAACCAGAAAGCTAGAAAGACTCCTGATTTAAATGAGAGTGCTGGATCCCCTACTTCATGCTTGAAAACTTAATCCTGGGCCAAATGCAGAGCATTTCTTAACTTGGGCAGATTGGTGGGTGTCTAGGCACACTAGTTGCGGCCTTTCAGCCTAGCTTGTTTGTTGGATGCCCCATCCCTCCGAGACCAATCCGGGCATCTTCTCAGGCAGGATACACTTCCTAGGGCTGAGGAAATTCAGCCTCTCCCACGTTGCACAGAAAGAAGTGATTATAGAAGTACCTCAGAGAGAGCGAGATGCAGGCTTGGTCCTCAGAAGGAGGTGTCTTTGACCAACCCCAGCTATAATTGCTTGTCCCCAGAGATTCTGCATACCCATTTCCAGAGATGTTGCAGCATGAAGAGGCAAGACTCCTTCTAATACCAGGTCACCCAGATAGCAACAGAGAAAGGTTGGTATACACATTCCTTCAGAGCTCATTGACGAGTGCTTTATGACTCACAAGTTTTGAAAGCATTTTTGAACAGTAGCTGAAGCCCGTGCTCCATTACTTGTTTCCTGTGGGGGTAGGAGGAGGGGAGACCGTCCCTTGGTCTGTATTCAGGATAGTTGCCCAAATGCTGCTCTGCCTTGCTTGATGGCTAATCTTAGAAAGTTCTAGGTTTTACTTTCAGGCCTCAAATCCTCCCTCTGTTGCCAGTTTAGCTGTTGGTTTCTTGTTCTGGACAAAGGCCCCCCGTTGGTGTTGTGCTTCAGGTTTGTGTACAGTACACACAGAAACTTGCCTCTCCCCACCCCTTGGGAACTCTTTATTCTTAGAATATGACTTGTACTCTTTTAAATAACCTTTTCCCTCTTGCCCTGACTTCCCAACTTGGCTTTTTCTAAAAGGAACTTGAACTTGGCCAAGAGAGGTAAGGAGGCTCTCTGAGTAAAGCAGTCTCTGCTTTGTTCTGGTTGCTGCCACCTTCATTAGAGAGCAGATAGGAAACAGGAGCTTCTTGGCTCATCTTTGCCAAAGTGAAACATCCAGGGAGCATAGTACTCTTACCCTGTCTTTTCTCCTCCCCAACACAAAAATCTAGAAAGGAAGATAAGTGGGTAACATCAAGAACCGTTGGAAGCTGAGGGCCATAGGACATTGTGGATCCCTACATCAAGGGGGAAGCCCTCTTCACTAGAAAAGATCCCTCTGCAATTAGCTAAATGATGAGTCCTTCCTCACTGGGCACTGTGGATTCTGTAAGATGGGTCTGTACATTTCATGGTGAGGGCTATCTTGAGTAGTGAATCTGGAGTTACCAGGTGTGTCCTGGATTTAAGAGGTGGCTTGACTTTCGAATGTAAAACTGACTGTGCCTTAGCATCACCCTGTCCGTTGCCCCTGGGGCAGCTGGTGGTGTCCAGGAGAATGGACACCTGCTCCAGATTTAGATGCCTGTTTGGGCTTTTGTTGGATTTGGGATGTTCCTGTCTTCTGAGCTGTAAGGTGGGGGGGGCAAAGCTAGTGTCCCAAGAGACTTGTGCCACAGCTTTGTTCGCAGTTTACAAAAACTCAGCTTTAAAGCTCCAAGTAGAACCTGACTGGCAGACTCCAGCTGCAGCACGTGGAGCTTCTAGATGTTCACTGCCTTGAATGGGTGTCAGTGCCACTGAACCACAGGGGAGAGGGGTGTGGGGCAGAGACTCATCCCTCTTCCCTGGGAGAGGGCTGGTCTGAGCCAAGGAGTGGTGAGCTTGGGGCCTTCCTTGCACTCCTCACTCCGCCTCAAGGGGCACTTAGGGCCCCTTTTAAAGCAGGCTTCTATTTCTTACCACTAAATTGGTTTCCTGTTTCATTCAAACATTAGAAGAGATATTCACACTATAGAAGCCAACTCTGAATCATGAGATTCTAAAATATCTTAAACCACAAGAGAGAAAATTAGTTCTGCCCCAGCCCTATCAGCAGGACGTCTGTCCCTCCTATCCTGAATCAGCTCGAATACACAAGGCTCCCTAGCTAGTTCCTAATGCACTGACTAACAGGAGCCATCTCATTAAGAACGACTTCTACTCAAAACATGACTCTCCCTCTGGACTTCAGATGCCTCTTTTAGCAGGAAAAGGCATTGATTGGATTGAATATATTTATGTGACTGCGGGCATTCGTGGCTGTAGAATCCTTGACCATAATGTTATATGTAATGGGAACTATCTTATAAACTTGAAAAAAATAAAGTTTTTATTTTCTATACAGTTTGCTCCTGTGTCTTTTCTAAATAGGATCAGCCCAGATGCCCAGCTGTGTAGGAGCCTAATTAGAGCTTCATAAAGATTCTGAAGAGTTCTTTAGAAAGATGTTACCCTTCCAGTAACTTGGTCATTAATTTCACCAAAAAAGTGAAAAACAAAAAGCTATAAATGTACATGGGATAATAAATACTATAATTTGCAAGGGAACACTTATTTCTTATTTCTAAAATATATTGCTTTTTAAAGTTTAGAACTGGAATGGCAAGAGATTCATTTGCAGTCAAATGTGATGAAATTTATATTAAAGAGAAATCAATACCTTACTGTTGCTGAGCTTAAACTGCAAAAGCAATAAAATTGACAAAATGATATCAAATCTCCTTTGATTTGGCTTGTTTCATGTCACATCAAACTACTTTTTCTCCTTTCATTTCTTCCAGTTTGCAGCTGGCTGTCCCCCACTGGTCTGGAGAATTAGAATTTGGTTCTAGTTTCCAAGTACTGTACATGTCAGACTGCAAGATGTATTTTCCCCTAAATTCCCCAGAAAAGAGGTTGCCTTGGCTAGGTGGCTCACACCTGTAATCCCAGCACTTTGGGAGGCGGAGGTGAGAGAACTGCCTGAGCCCAGGGGTTTGAGACTAGCCTGGGCAACTTGGCAAGACCTCGTCTCCATGATAATTCAAAATATTAGCTGGGCATGGTAGCGCTGGAACCTGTAGTTCCAGCTACTTGGAAAGCTGAGACAGAAGAATCACCTGAGCCCAACAGGTCAAGGCTGTGGTGGCTGTGAGCGTGCCATTGCACTCCAGCCTGGGTGACAGAGTGAGACTCTGACTCAAAAAAAAAAAAGATTTTGTGTTCCCGAATCCTTCATGTTTCCAAACCCTTCTCTCCAGGAGGCTTTGAACTCTGTAGATCTCATTTAATGACACAGACTGGTGGAAAGATTTCACGAGACTTTAATAACCTAATACTGTGAACAAAAATGACACGTATGGCTCTCACAGAGACACATGTGCACACACATTCTCTTCCTCTCACAGACTCTGAGGTAGCAGGTTAACGAACGCTGGCTAACGAACGAAGAAAAAAGACTGAGCGGGCTGAGCATGGCCCAGGCCACAAGCTCAGAAGGCACCTGGCTGAGTGGCAGCCCTTTGAGAGCAGGCACAGAGACCGGGACCACTGCACTGAGACTGGAGGGGCTAACAGGCCCCTTGGAGTTGGACACCCCTGGCTTTCAGCATATGAGATCCAACCCAGAACTGGAGTGGGTAGGGGTGAGACTAGGGCGGCAGCTGGTCTTGCTCCTGGTTCCAAGGGGGTCCTGACGCATAAAATACTCTCAGTAAACATTTGTTGAATAAACTACACGAAGCAGAGGAGGAATTCTAGAGAACAACCCCGGGAAGTCCCAAGGCCGCCTAGCCCAGAACAGGGGAACTAATGATGGACAGCACCTCCATAACTATTTTAGAGGTGGCCAGAGAGGTGCAGATACCAACAATGGGGACACTGAGGCACCAGCTATACTGATGGGGAAAAGAGAAAAAGGGGTCTCTTCTTTCCTCCCAAAGTGTCTTGTATATAATGGGGGCCCTTGGCCAGCGTGGTGGCTCACACCTAATCCCAGCACTTTGGGAGGCTGAGGTAAGAGGACAGCCTGAGAACGGGTTCAAGACCAGCCTAGCAACTTGGCGAGACCTCTCTACAATATATTAAAAAATTGTCCGGGCATGGTGGCGTGCGCATGTTGCTCCAGCTACTTGGAAGGCTGAGGCAGGATCATCTGAGCCCGGCAGGCTGAGGCTGCAGTAGCCATGAGCATGCCATTGCACTCCAGCCTGGGCAACAGAGGGAGACTCCAACTCAAAAAAAATACAAATAATTGAGGCCCTTGGCTGCATCTTGTTCACACTGAGCTCCTTGAAGGCAGGCCTCTGCTTTACTCAGCACCCGTGTCCAGTGCCTGGCACAGAACAGGCGTCCTACTCCTGCTGAATGCATCCAGGCCCACAGCAGCACAGCTAGCTTATCTGCTCCTGCCTTCCACCAGTCGATTCACGGTCCTTCTCCCCCAGCCGGGTCTGACCCTGCCTCAAAGGACCCCGTTCACCTCTCCCTTCACTGGCGAAGCCACCTCATCCTTAGCCGTGAGGAAAAATGTCCGAGCTAACTGGGCCACGCGCCTGTTGTGAGGCAGCTGGCTCTCTTCCAGGGTGAGGAGACTCCGGGCTCCGTCCACCTGGTCAGGCTCCCAGCGGCAGCTAGGGTGCAGCCAGCGGTAGTAGGCCAGCCGCAAAGCCAGACCCACAAGGAAGCAGACACCGCCCACAGGCAGCCACAGCTGCAGGGAGTTCCCACTGGGCAGCCAGGTGCTATGAGTCAGCCAAGTGGCCACCAAGAGGATACTGTCACTCAGGAGGAATGCCAGATGGATGGTGGCCCGGCCTCGGGTGCGGCCCTCAGCCACATTGAACCAGGAGAAATAGAGGATGGTGGCCACTGTCGCCCGGTACAGCCACTCGGAGCAGGGGCCCGGCATAAAGTCTGTGCCCTGAAGCCAGACCCAGAGCAGCAGCACCAGCCACAGCCCCAAGAAGTGCAAGGCCACATAGCGGGGGAAGAGGGCTGAGAACAGGGCCACAGCCAGGACCCGGGGCCACAGCAGCAGCAGGTTCCACAGGAAGTAGATCACGGAGGAGCCCAGGCCCAGGCGGGGCTTGGAGGGGAGGCAGGCACGCAGGGCCCGGTGGTAGTCAAGCAGCGCCCAGGAGATGCCCACAAAGGACGTGCAGATGCCAACCCCTGCGAAGAGTAAGAGGGAACAGTGAGCTCTGTGGCTGCCTGCCTGGCAACCTCCAGGGTCACAGGCAAAGTGGGGAGCCCTCATGGCACCCGAGGCTAGTATTAGAATCTCCCATTTGTTGAAGGGAAAACCGCAGCTGGAGAACATCTAGTAAAACATCAACCAAAAACAGCTGGGACTCAACCTTCATTGTGCTTATGTGCAAGTGCTATCGTGGTGCTGTTTCAGGGATGAGAGGATAGGTGGCTTATAAAGAATCACCCAGCATTCAGCACCCCTGGGCCTTGGCTGCACTCTGAGCATTTTCCAGGTCCCCATAACTCTTTATTTCTGGGAAGAGCACAAGTCTTTTCTTTTTTTTTGAGTCGGAGTCTCACTCTGTCGCCCAGACTGGAGCGCAGTGGCCACTCCCGGCCACAGCTGCCTCGACCTGCTGGGCTCCGGCGATCCTTCCGCCTCAGCCTTCCAAGTAGCCGGAACTACAGGCGCGCGTTACCACGCCCAGCTAATTTTTGATTTATTGTAGAGATGAGGTCTCCCCAAGTTGCCCAGCCGGGTTGCGAACCCGCAGGCTCAGACAATCCACTCACCTCGGCCTCCCAAAGTGCTGGGATTACGGCTGAGCCACCGAGCCTGGCCAAGTCTTTATTTATTTATTTATTTATTTTGGAGTCAGAGTCTCACTGTGTTGCCCAGGTTGGAGTGCAGCAGCACACTCACAGCCACTGCAGCCTCGACCTGCTGGGTTCAGGCGATCCTTCCACCTCGGCCTTCCAAGTAGCTGGAACTACAGGCACGTACCACCAAGCCTGGCAAATTTTTTGATTTATTGTGGAGATGAGGCCTCACCAAGTTGCCCAGACTGGTCTCGAACCCATGGGCTCAGGCAATCCTCTCACCTCACCCTCCCAAAGTGCTAGCATTATAAGGCGTGAGTCACCACTCCCAGCCTCACAAGTCTTTTTTGAGTCTAAAAATCAGAAGTCCCAATACTCTCTTTCCAGTCACAAAAAGAAAGTAGGAAATCCCATAAGGTGGCAACAGACCTCAGCCCGAGCTGCCATTAGGGAGGGATGTCCCTGCTGTGTGGCCAAAAGGTCTCCCACCGTTCTACCCTGTTCTCCACGCTCAGACTGGCCTCTATCTAGCCTTGATTTTCCAAGATCCAGACGTTTACGTGGGCTTTCTATCCCACCTCCCGGTTGTCCACCCTGGACCAGAAGCACCAGGATCTTCAGGGAGGGTGGAGGCAGCACTGGAATGTCTCTTGACTGCTTCCTCCCCAGCCGCCTTCCACCGCAGTCCTTCAACAGATGTTTACTGGGAACCCACTACCAGCCAGAATCAGAGCTGAGGCCACTGCCCTTCTAACCAACCGGACACCAAGGTCTCAACAGGCCGATGTGCTTCCAGTTTGCCCAGCGTGCTGCCTTCTCTGACCTTGACAAGCTTTGCTTGGCTGTTAGGTCAGCCAGGAGCACAGGCCCCGCCTCCCCAGCCAACTCCTCCACATCCTGCAAGCCACAGCTTGAATAGGCCCTGGAGTCACGCATCCTGACCCCACCCCACACATGAGGTCTTGCCAAGTTGCCCAGGCTGGTCTTGAACCTGTGGACTCAGGCAAACCTCTTGCCTCTGCCTCCCAAAGTGCTGGGATTACAGGCGTGAGTCACCGCACCCAGCTCACCCCCAGATTCTTCTGGAAGACTCTCTGGCTTACATGGCAAGTGAGAGTAGAGTGGGTGACTGGGTTCCTTGGGGAGCTGTGGCGTTTACAGCAGGGGGCTAGAGGGGTGCATGGGAAGGCAAAGGAGAAGCCCTGGACGCTGAATCAGATGTGAGTTGGGGCCCCGGTGTGGCAGGTGCTGGGTCTGTAACCTTGAACAAGTCACTTCTCTTTTATGGGCAAAAGCTCTCTCAAAGCTCCTTACTGTCCCAACTTCACCGGTGCCTTATGAGGAATTGCCAGACTCCACTGCCTGCCTTTCTCTTTTCAGTCAACAAGCAGTACTGAAGCCACTGGTTTTAGTCTCTCATCCTGGCAGGGCAGAGGCTGTGTTCAGCTCGTTCACTGCTGTGTCCCCGGCACAGTGACAGGCACAGGAGATGTGCGCTGTAACAACTCGAGCATATGAAGGCACTCAATAAATGTTCTTGACTAATAAGCTGCCTATTCTGTATTGGGAACCCTACACACCTTACCTGTTTTCTTCAAAATACTCAAAATTACAATCGGCATTTATTATGTGCCAAGCACTGGGTTTAATACGCGTCACCTCACTTAATCTTTCCATCAACCCTCTGAGGCAGGAGTATTGATTATGTCTATTTTTCAGATGAAAACTGATACTCAGAAAGGCTGAGTCATTTGTCCAAACTCACACAGCTAGAGAGTGACTTTAAAACTTGAAGCCAAGGGAGGGGGGTCGGGATTAGCAGTTGAGGGAAACTGCTAAGGGAGGGAGGAGCACACCTCATCATCAAGGGAAACTGCATAATCAACGTTCGTATTCCTAACCCTGAATTGTACTCCACATCTTTAAAATAAAAATAAAAAATAAAAAAAGAATCAACTAAACTTGAAGCTAGATCTGCCTGACTAAAGTGTGTTCTCCTGGCCGGGCTTGGTGGCTCAGCCTATAATCCCGCGCCTTGGGAGGCTGAGCTGAGGGGATTGCCTGAGCCCGCGGGTTCGAGACCCGCCTGGGCAACTTGGTGAGACCTCATCTCTACAATAAATCAAAAAATCAGTCGGGCATGGTAGTGCACGCCTGTAGTTCCAGCTACTTGGAAGGCTGAGGTGGAAGGATGGCCGGAGCCCAGCAGGTTGAGCTGCGGTGGCCAGGAACGTGCCCCTGCATTCCAGTCTAGGGGACGGAGTGAGACTCCGACTCAAAAAAAAAAAAAAAAAATTAAAAAGTGTGTTCTCCTGTTTTCTTAGCAGCCTTTATCAAGGGGTGAAAACCATTCTGACATTTGAAGGAAACGTTCCCAAGCCATAAAAGGGGGACCGAAGGCTAGCCTGTCACTCACACTGATAGTACTCGGCCCGGCCACTCTGCAGGACGATGGCCAGCACCAGCGTGAGCTGTGGTGTCGTCTCCAAAAAGGTCTCAAAGAGCCGCAGCATGCTGATGTCCAGGGAGAGGAAGTCGGCGTAGGCCAGGTCAAACTCGGAGGGCGCCTCCTGCTGCCACACCAGCAGCCCCTGCTGCAGCCCCTGCACACACCTATAGGCAGCACACATGATGCCCAACGGGCCAGGTTAATTCCTGTGAACTCCTCGGACCTCACATCTGGTGGGTGTACACAGGCTCTGATCCTAGCTCGTCACTTGCATGCTACTGGGCCTTGGACAAGTGACTTAACCTCACTGAACTTGTTTTCTCATCTGTAAAATGAGGATAAATACAACTTCTTCTCCTGCTGGCCAGGTGCTGTCTCAAGCTCATCACAAACCTCATCCTGTGGTCTGCTCACAAGAGCCCCATTCTACAGGTGGGGAAACAGGGTCAAAAGCTAATAAGGACCAGGCACAGTGGCTCACATCTGTAATTCCAGTGCTTTGGGAGGCTGAGGCAGAAGGATCTTTAGAGGCCAGGAGTTTGAGATCAGCGTGGACAATATAGTAAGACTCTTGTCTTCAAAAATATATTAAGCTGAGCCCGTGAGTACGAGGGCTCATCAAGGGCTCAACTTGATGAGACTTCATCAGTACATCAAAAAAAATTAGCCGGGCGTGGTAGCGCACGCCTGTAGTTTCAGCTACTCGGAAGGCTGAGGCGGAAGGATCGCCGGAGCCCAGCAGGTCGAGGCTGCGGTGGCCGGGAGCGGCCACTGCACTCCAGTCTGGGCGACAGAGAGAGAGACTCTGACTCAAAAAAAATAAAAATATAGATAGATAGACAGACAAACAGACAAAATATGCTATAAAGTTGCCTGAGGCAACAGCTCTCAAATCTGAATATGCCTCAGAATCTCCTGGGATCCTGTGGGCAAAGGGAGCCATCAAGAGCTTCCGAGTACAGGCCAGAAGGGGCTAGACTCTGCTTTAAAAAGGGCACCTGGCCATGCAGAGGGGTTCGATCAGAAGCAGGGTCCCATTCAAGAGGCTGAACCACAGTGGTGGGGATCGAGACTGGCAGAGTTAAAAGGGTCCGGAGGTTGAACAGACAGGCCTGGGGGACCCATTGGTATGAGGGGGAAGTGGAGGCTGCACCAAGGTCTCCTCCCCAGAACTCTTCTCAGTCGGCTGGCTGTTGGGAGGAAGCCTGTTCACGCATTCCCTATTCACACATCAGATGTTCCCTGACCAGACCTGAGAACACACAGAGGGGCAGGCAGGCAGGGCCAGGCTCTCCTCGGCAGAAAACTTTGCCTCTGCTCCCCAGCCTCAGCCTAGTCACAGGTAGGAACAGAGACCTGTTTCCAAAACCAAAGCTCAGTACAGTCTGACTCCAGCTCAGCAGAAACATGAGAGGGGAAGATGTATGAGGCATTTATAGGTCCAGGGCTCATCACGGCTTGCCCAGGACTATATACTAACTGGGCCCCATCATGACCACCCTGGGTGTTTGATGTCTGTACAGTCCCTCAGGCAAAACTGCAACAGTTCAGAGCTCCTCTCCCCCACTCCTGGGGACCCCATGCGGCTTGGCCAAGGCAAGATCTGGAGAGAATTTGTACAAATGGACTTGAGTGAACCTGGCTCCAGCCACCCCATCCCAAACCAGACCCCCGACGTCCTGACTTCATTGTGTGACTCTGACCCCTTGGTTCCACCTCCCGACCACTGCAGGGCCCTGCCAGTTCTGAAAAGAAGCACACCCACACACATTTTCCGAGACCTCGTCTGTGTCCAGCCCTGGCTGGCTCCACGGACAGGAATAAATAAATAGGCCCCGTCTCTGCCTGCCTGCTGGATCTGCGGGTGGGAAGCCAAAGTTCAGAGAGGGGAATACACTGGGAAAGGAAGGGTGAGAGGTGCCATGTGAGGGAACAAGCTCTGGGGTCAGGGCTGCTGAAACTCCCAGGATGGCAATCAGGAAGCTAGCTGACATCTGTTGAAGGCTTACCTTGTGCCAGGGCAATTGACAGGTGTCGGTGCACTGAATCCTCACAAAACAGAAGCAGGCACTACTACCATCCCCATTGAAACCAGGAGTAAACTGAGCCCCGAGAGGCCAGTGACTTGCCCAAGGCTCTGTCCACCACTCATACATCTTCCCCTCTCATGTTTCTGCTCAGCTTAAGTCAGACTGTAGGGGGCCTTGGTTTTGGAAACAGGTCTCTGTTCCTACCTGTGACTAGGCTGAGGCTGGAGAGCAGAGGCAAAGGTTTCTGCCGAGGAGAGCCTGACCCTGCCCGGCTGCCCCTCTGTGCTTTCTCAGGTCTGGTCAGGGAACAGAGTGGTGAATTGAAGCCGCATGTCTCTGCCATTACCTGCCAGGTACTGTGCGAGGCACTTTCTCACTCTTCAGCCCACTTCTCACAGCATGCCTGTCTCTAGACAACAACCCCCTGGTTATAGAGGAGGAAACGTAGGCTCAGAGAAATGCAGAAATTAGGTCAAATTGTGGCAAGCCAGTTTGGATCCCAGAGGAGTCTGACTCCAAAGCCGACGTGCCTCCCTTTCTCTGGGCCTCAGTTTCTTCCCCTGTGTTGGGAAGGGCAGGGCTCCGTGAACCCTGAGGGCTGTCAGCGGGTTCTCTCTTTTTTTTTTTTGAGTCGGCGTCTCACTCTGTCCCCCAGGCTGGAGTGCAGTGGCACGCTCAAAGCCACCGCCGCCTCTACCTCCTGGACTCAGGCGATCTTCCGCTTCAGCCTTCCAAAGAGCTGGAACCACAGGCATGCGCCACCACGCCCGGCTAATTTTTTGACTTATTGTAGAGACGAGGGCTTACCACGTTGCTCAGGCTGGTCTCGAACCCCTGAGCTCAGGCAATCCTCTCGCCTCCGCCTCCCCAAGTGCTGGGATTCCAGGCGTGAGCCACGGCGCCCGGCTGGGTTCTCCCTCTTGAAAGTAAAGTACGCTCACTCTTAGGAGAGTTGCCCCGGGGCTCGGTTGCCTCTCCCGGGCCGGGTCCTCCCCACCCACCCCCCTCCCGGTGTCGGGCAATTCACCTGCACTAACCGGCAGCCCAGCCGCGGGAGCGCCGGGCTCCGTCGCCCCTCCCCCCGAGGGCGGGGCGCTCACCTGTACAGGTAGCCCAGCTGCAGGAGATGCAGCAGCGCCAGGCAGC